TTTCACCTCAGACCAAATGATTCAGAATCGCTATGTATGGCCTTGGCATCAGTATTTTTTAGTGCTTCCTTAGAAAATCTAATGTGAAATTGGGAGTGAAAACCTATAATAAACACAACATAATAATTTATTTATTCATCTACTCATTCCACAAATTCTAATGACCAATCACCATATGCTCATTGAGAATAAGACGATATTTCTAAAAGAGCTTAGTTACTTCAGGCAAAGAATAGACAAATCAATAAATCCCATGTGAAATACAAGCAAGTTATAGGATCCAGAGGAGAAAATAGTTTGTCAACAAAGGATTTACCCAGCCTTTATTCATTCATTTATATAAATATTTGGGTATCTATAAGATTTCGCCATGAAGATAAAAAGAAAAAAAAATGGATACATTCAAGGAAGTATAAGGATATACAAAGAAGAAAAAAAAGTATAACTTAATATCATACTCACTAACATGCAAGTGTGACTAGGGTATAATAGGTATACCCTCTAGAGTTAGAGAATATAGTACCAAGCTGCTGACCTTGGAGGTAATATAATATAAAACTTGAGTTGCAGTCAAGTTTCAGTAGAGAAAATAATTAGTATTCCAGTCAGATGCGGTAGTATATGCCCACAATCCCAGGGACTGAGGCTGAGGAAGGAGGATCACAAGTTTGAAGCCAGTGTGGACAACTTAGTGAGATCCTGTCTCAACATAAAAAAATTAAAAAGGGTTGGGGATGTAGCTCAGTGGTCGAGCACTCCTGGATTCAATTCCCACTCCCCCTAATGTCCCCAGCTTAGGATTCTACAAAACTGCTTCTTAAACATTAATGTACTGTACATACAAACCACCTGGGAATCTTGTTAAAGAGCTGATTCTGATTCAAAAGGTGTGGGGTGGAGTCTGAGACTAAGTTCCTACATTATACTAATGCTCCTGAATCACATACAACAATTTAAATGGCAAAATTCCTGAGGAAAATGAGTTTCAAGAGGGAAAAGATAATTTCCACAGCAGATAGACCATACACACACAAAAAAAAAAATTAGAAAATCCCATTTGATTTGCCTGCAGATCGCTTTTATGAAAGTAATTTCAGTCAAGTGATGGAAGGAAAGCCAGATGATATGGACTTAGAAAAAATGAAAAAGTAAGGAGGTGGGACAGGAAATAAAATAGAATGCTTTTCTTCCTACTCTCAAATGTTAGACAGGCTTAATTGTATTCACAAGCTGAGGGAAATGACCAGTTGAAAGGAGAAAACTGAAGGCAAGGGAGAGGATAGTCCCTTGTGAATGGGGAGAGAGATTCCTTCATTTCAAGCACAGAAGGAGGTGTGAATTGGTCTAAAAGGGTAAGAGGAAAGAGAAAAGAGTAAGAATTGAAGAAGTTTCCTTTTATTTTATAAAACAGGAAGCTAGGTGATGTGCTGAGAGTGAGCTGGAGGTTTGATGTAAACATTGTGGGGCATAAGATAAGCACAAGTGGCACAGCTGAGGCTGGAAACTAAAACTCCACTTGTACGCAGCTATGTGATTCTGTTGAACAACATCCATAGTCAAGATATAGGCATATCAAAATGGGTTGAACAAGAAAGAAAGATAAATTGACAAGTTTTAAAAAATAGAGGAGGCAAGGGAAATCCTAGAAAAATCAGAATAGGTATAAGGTTACCTATTCCATAAGGACAGAGTCAGGGAAAGTTTTGGATTTTCCCTTGAACCCCTAAGTACTTTTCAAAGACATGACCAGAGACATTGAGAATACATTATTAGGGGAAGATTCTACTGTATTTTTTTTTTTGTTTTTGAAAATTACATTGTCAAATACCATTCTCCAGCTTAAATATTATGTACTCAGTAAACCTGCTTGTAGGTTTTAACATCCAAAGTGATAAACAACTTTAACAGATTCCAGATGTTTTCTTACCAAAAGAAGCAATACCATAAATTTTCAGTAAAAGTATACTTTTGAAGAGCTCCTTGCCTAAAGGGCTGGTAGGCTAGTCTAGTCTCTGATCCCACTGCTCAAATAAGAAAATTACCGAAGGATAACAGAGTAAGTATTTCAAGTACATCCAGATGAAAGTTTGTATACATCCAGAACACTGATTTGAATAGATAATGATTTCACACTGACCTCTTTTTCTGACTATACCCAATGTAACTCAAACTAAACAGTGAACTTCCTTTAGATATAATTATTCTTTTGCCACATTATAATTTTTTAAAACTTGGGAGTTTCTTGTTTTTTGTTGTTGTTTTTTTATTTATTTTTTTAACTATAAAATTAACTCCAGAAACTTAAGCAATACTGAAGCTGATATAACTAACAAAAAGTACTAACGGTTTTGGAAATTTTCTGAACTTAAAAATATGTGATCATGAGATAATCATGGAAATTTCTAGAACAGAAAGAAAAACTGAATTTTCTCTTAAAAATCTATATTTTCTCCTCTTGTCTGAACTCTTTTATTTTTCTTTTGTTTCTCTTTGTGGGTAGGAGAGGTAGGATGAAGGAAAGAGAGAAAAGTATTTCAAAGTTGAAAATATGGGGTGAAGAAAAGAACAGTTTTAAATAAATGTTTGCACTACATTTTATAGGTTCATTTTGCCAACTATTTTATTCTAAAAGATAAAATCAAATAATGCCTACAATGTTCATGTATTTATCTAAATTTTTAAGTCATCTTGGGAGTTAATTTTCTCATTTAGTTTACTTTTCTTGGTAGACCCTTAAACCATTTGAATATAGTTCCTTTCAATACAATGAATACACAAAATACTCATGCAGTTAATGTTATCTGATTTTAACTGTGCAAATTATTCTCACCTATAAAAAAAGGAAAAATTGTTAACATGAGTGGATACTACCAAGACATTCCTATGTTAAGAATTATCATAAAACTAAGCTTCAAATGAGATTGAGAATATTTCTTATTATTTAAATCCATGTTCATGCAAATTCTATAAAATGGCAAGTTCCTTAGTTCAGCTCACACCATCTCTCAAGTGGATTTACTGAAAAAGCTTTCAAACTTGCTCCTCCATTCTCCCCTCTCATTATGGACCAAATGTTTGTGCCCCAATTCATGTAGAAGCTCTAAACCCTATTCTGATGCTAAGTGCAGGTGGGGCCTTTGGGAGCTAATTAACTGTACACCCCCATGATGAGATCAATGTCCTTATGAGAAGAGGAAGAGACACCAGAGCCCTCTTTCTCTGTCATGTAAAGTCACAACAAGAAAGTGTGAATAGGGTCCTCACCAAGAAACAAACTGGCTAGCACTTTGATTTTGATCTTCAGTGTCCAGAGCTGAGAATAAGCTTCTGTTGTTGAAGCCACTAGTCTATGGTATTTTATCAGTTTCTTTAGCAACCCAACACACCCTTCCATAAATTCATTCTCTCCACTAAATACAATTTCAATGTATCATTCACCTGTAAAAACTTTTAAATGGCCCCTACTAGTCTCCCAATCAAGATCATGTTTCTACATCTAGCCATCAATGCTGTGTTTGCTCATTAGGCCATATAATAAGAGGATCGTTTAAGGATAACCCTTTGTTTTAAAAATGAACATATTTTGCAAAATGTAATCTCTTAATTATTTGTTATTAAGCAACCAATTTTATAAAGACTATTATGAAAGTTACATGTAAAATAAGCTTTATTTAGTTTTTACGGAAAACTCAGTTTTGCCAAATTATAATTTACATTAACTACTGCATATGTAAGTATTTTAAGTTACACAAAAACCAAGAAGACATAGTCAAAGGCCTAAGGAGCATTTAAATATAATATAAATAAGTATGTGGTTTATTTATTTGAAATTTAAAGGTTTTGTTCTATTATAAACTTAATCTTTAAAAGTCAGAAGACACATTGCCTTGAGTGAGAGAGAAAAAACATTACACATCCTTGATTATACTGATGATTTGACTAAAAGTTAGAGAGTCAATGGGAGGCTCTAACTCCATGTATGTAGAAGCATCTATCTGATCACTAATATCTTCCCTCAGTTTGGCCCAAAGTTAATCTATATTAAACTATTCAACAGCGATTACTTGACTGCCAGGTGAATGAGGCTGGGGGGAAAAAAAAGAGATAATTAAATACCATTTCTGAATGCAAAAAGTTCTACCTTCAGGGAAAATTCCTAAGAATCACTTTTGTTTCTGGTTACAAAAAGAAAACTGAAGGACCTCTGCAATGAAAATTTGCTTTTTTTTTCCTACATGAGGTTGAAAAATATAATAGAAAAAAAGTGTTATTTATATGTAGTTACATCTATCTTACCCAAATGTAGACCATCTGAGGAAAACAAATACCATTACTTTCATAAAGCAACATTTAAAATGTATACCATTAAGTGTGATCACAGAATCATAAAGAGGAGTTTTTCAGTTGAGTTGAATTTCAGAAGAATAAAACATTGAGTCACAAAATCCAACAAAATTTTACCATCCAACAGTGAATTCCTCATCATTTACTGAAATTTCTTTTATGATACTACTGAGATTAGGAGGGGTATGTGGTATTTGGTAAATCAGACCTGGAAATACACTTAAGAATATTTTCAGGCCCACACACTTTCTTCACCAATTTTGAAAAATTTTAATCACTTAAATTGTTTGAGGATGTCTCTCTTCTTTCTATGAAAATGATTCAACTATTCTCGTTGGTATTAAACAAACACAACTTTCTACATCTAGCTAATACATTGCTTTCCCTACATATAAAAGTATACAGAGCCTTTCCACAAAGGGATCAGAGAAAAATGAAGTGGAATTTGACTCATGGGACTATTATTGCTGAACAGACTTTCTTTAAGCCTAGTCCATTTTCTTTGAGGCCCCTAAATGGGACAATTTGCACAACTGTTACATTTATTAAACATTATGATATGGCAGTTTGAAAAAAATATATAAGTTTAGTAAAGGACTCAGTCAAACCTAAAAAGACAAAAAACTCTAATAGCCAGAGCACAACAATTGACTCACCTGCGGCTGACTGATTTCTTCTCCACTTCTCCCTCTCCAGTTGATTTCACATTTGCATTTGTGTCCTTTTTTAACTTTTTTGCAATTCTTTCTCTCATCAGGTTTTTTTCATCACCATCAATGTATTCATCATGCTCAGCACTTTCATCTCCATCCTGCAGAAATTGAAACAGAGTATTTGTCAGTCATTTAATTTCCCCTTTTCTTCAAGGAATCTATCTCAGACTCTCTTTATTGCATTCTCAGCCAGCTTTGTGTTTTTAACTAGTTAAAAGCTTGAATACTCCGCCCCAGGTGGGAATGCCCCTAGGGTCTGCTCTAGGCCAACTACATAACCCCAGAAAGGGTTGTATGCTCAATTCATATCTAGTTCCTCTGTACTGCATAGACTACTCAATCTATATCACCAGGGATATTGTATCTTATCTACATTCCTATTCTTCTCCCAATGGGAAAGTGGTTTTGGAGGCAGTTGGCCAGAATAGACCTCAACCAGGGAATTAATTCAAGTAGAGGAGGTATAATGCAGAAGCTGAGATTTATTCCTATAATCTAAGTCATAGAAATTAATTCTCTCCTGAAAAACATGCAATGGATTCCCAACTTACTCAAAACGCTTCTCTCCCTGACATAATTTAATGTTCTATAACTGCAGCCCAGGAACACTAGCCAACTTTGGAGTTATTCTCTAACTTGCAACTCATATTCTAGGTATCTGCATCATTTGCCTTGTTCTCTCCTTCAGCTCTTTGCTCATATACAACTCTCTCTGTGATGCTTTTCTTGATCATCCCATTAAAATGGCAGAACCAACCTCCCACTTCCAGTGCTCTTCATTACCCTTCCCTGGCTAATTTTCCAAAGCACTTAGTATCTATGTGTTTATCGTCTCTCGACCAATTAAGGAAAACATTCCATGAGAGCTAAAATTCTGGACTGTTTTGCTTACTGCTATATCTTTGATTTCTAGAAGAGCTCCCAGCATTAATAGAGGGAGCAGTGAAGAGAGGGAGAGGGGAGAGAAAGAGAAGGAAGAAACTATATCAAGTTTTCCTTTTGTGATTCTTTGATCTTGTGATTCATGGTGAGGCAGGATTCTTAATTTGAGGCTTGTGAATCCCTACATCAGTGAGTGGTCTTCAAAATCTGGTTCTCAAACTACTTACATGGCTATTTGGGGTGGGAGGAGTAAAATCCTAGTCCTCATTGCATTCTTTTTGAACCAAAACCTCTCGGGATAGAAACTGTGAATGTTTTAGCAAGATGTTTAAATTCTTAAGCACTGAAAGCTGATAATCACTGACATATATGTGCCTTGCTTAGGCCTCAGATCTAAAACACACACACCCTGCAAAGACACACAATTTTATTTGTGGATATAGTACATTTTCCTGGGAAAGGACTCCTAGATTGAGTCATTTAAAAGGAACACATAACAGTTTAGAGATAGTCTGAGAATCCTCTCTTTTGACTATAGTAATAAATAAATCTATATTCATAAATGGAAAGTTATGTACTTTCCATTGAGTTATACAATGCACAGATCAATGGGTTTTTATATAAAGTACCATATGGATAATTAGAAAAATTTTATTTCATACATATTAAAAGGGCACCTTCCTTCTATTTTGTTAATTTTATTCGCCAGTGTACCTAATAAAGATCACTAGAGTCTTATATGACAATCTTCTGAAATGTCTGTATAAAAAGGAATACTGCTACAAACAACTGATGCAAGCATTTCCCATATGTCATGTCAGATGCTCACCCATCCACCTTTAAACTATTAACATAATAAACCAAAATTACAACATCTCATTCATGTAATATCACTGAGGAGAAAAATCAGGATAGAAAATCAAATATATGACTCAACTTTTGTAAGAAAACAACACATATATTTGGAAGAAAATATTCTAATATCAAAATATTACAATTTTTATTTTTCAAAATTTTCAATACCTTGCATGTAAAATTATAAAAGTAATATATGTTACTTTTTTTTAGTTCTAGGGATAAAACCCAGGATTTAGTACATGCTAGACAAGCACTCTGCCGCTTAGTTACATCTCCAATTCTATGTTATCTTTTAAAGGAAAAAAATTAATTTTTTGTAAAATGTAAACTTTCTACAAATTGTTCAAGCCATATATGTACTAAAATTAATACTCACATCATCTAAATCTCCTGTTGCATCACCTTTTTCACTACAAAAAATAAGTAAAACAAATAAGTTTTAGCTTCAAAGTGAAACAAATAAAATTATTTAAAAATTAAAAAAATTAGAATAGTTTGCAGGGATTAATGTTCCAAAATTTATTTCATCTTAGGAATCTCAAAATGGCACTCTACAGCAGATGATTTTTAATAAAATGAATAAGAGGTATGCTACATTAACAGATAAATGATTCACTGGAATTTTCTTTTCTTTCTTTTTTTTTTTAAGAGAGAGAAAGAGAGAATTGTTTTTAATATTAATTTTTTAGTTTTCGGCAGACACAACAGCTTTGTTTGCATATGATGCTGAGGATCGAACCCGGGCCGCACGCATGCCAGGCGAGCGCACTACTGCTTGAGCCACATCCCCAGCCCAGAAATTTTCTTTTTTAAAGCAAAAGCCACCAACGAACTTTTTTTAATGAACAACTAACTGTAGAAAATAATTTTTTTCTATTAACTTGCAGTATTCTGGCTAAAGAAACCTAATTCTTCAAATAAAAGAATGTTAAGAAAAGAACGTTTTGAAATAGGACTTTTGAAAATGAATTAAACTCAATACAATGCTATTTTAGCTCCCCATTTTGAGACACTGGCCCAATAATCATGTGCAATTGTATCTGACACTAAGCAATATCTTTGCAAAAAGAGCCAAGAAAGTAAGACAATTTTCTGTTAATCTCTAAAAGGATGTGAGAATTTACACTCAGTGGTATGGCCCAAAATATGGTGACTTCTTCACACTAACCTTTCAATCTTGATTTGTTTACCCATGACACCAACCAATATAAAAATGTTTCAAATAAAGTTAAAAACACAACTTAAACATTAAACTTTCTGAGCAAACAGTTCCAAGTATTCAGATTATTCTAAGATTTAAAAGTTTGAGAATTAATTTTAAATGTAATTAATTCAACAAAGTTAGATACCGAGAAGAGTGAAAGTGACTACAGTGCTTCTCTCCATCATGCTAGAAGTTCTTCTCTACCTCCATTATTAAAATGTTTATTTTGGCGGGGAGGAGTTGGGTTTTTAAAAGTTTGACTTATGAGATCTGAGCATTTGCTGACAAAGGAAACAAGAAAATGATCTGAGCCTGAAAATAAGAACTTAGGATCATACCAGCACCAGACTAACCTTTCAACAGCTGGAACAGAACTGAGATGCGGGTCATTCTTAAGCAGGTCATGACTGCTTTTGCTTTTCCCCTTCATGCTCTGGAAAAAAAATGTATAATACCACCATAAGCAGAGAAATAAACAGTCTTGCAAAAGTACAAATATACACAAAATCTAGTACTGACACAATGTGTTTGGCAAAAATAAGTTCCTGATAAGTTTGTCATGGGGCTGGGGTTGAAGCTTAGTTGTAGAGCACTTGTCTAGCATGTGTGAGGCACTGGGTTCAATCCTTAGTACCACATATAAATAAATTAATTAATTAATTAAAGGTCCATGGACAACTAAAAAAAAAAGTTCTGTATACATTAAAGCTTTAGAAATAAGAATTTCAAGGCTGGGGTTGTGGCTCAGTGGTAGAGTGGTCACCTAGCATGCTGAGGCACTGAGTTCGATCCTCAGCACCACATAAATGTAAAAGAAAGATATTGTGCCCATTTAAAACTAAAAAATAAATATTTAAAAAAAAGAAAAAAGAATCCCACCCTTTCATTGACTGAAAATACTATTTTAAAAACATCTTTTCAGGCTTTGGTTGTAGCTCAGTGGTAAAGCGCTTGCTGAGCATGTGTGAGGCACTGAGTTTGATCCTCAGCACCACATATAAATAAATAAAATAGAGGTCCATCAACAACTAAAATAAATATTTAAAAAACAATCTTTTCTTCTGAAAAGTGACACATCATTAAAACCAAGTCTATTAATTACCAATTTTAAGCACTAAATCCCCATCATAATTCACATACAACTAAAATCACTAATTTATTATGACTCATATTAAAACTTAGAAGATCATAAGAATAATTAGAAATAAATACGCACAAGTATTCTTCAAATATACCATCTATAATGCACAGAATTGTATTTTAAAAAATACTCAAGTAACCAGATAAGTACATCCATGAGATACTATTTAATAAATGGAAAACAGATAAATAAAGAACCTCTCAAGTATGGGAATATTCATCAGGAACTAATGTTTTTCAGGTGCTTTAGTTTGAAAGTTCATGTTCTCAATAAATTTACATTTTAGCATAAATAATTAAGAAGAAACATCTATAGGAATAGTTACTACAAGAAGTTACTATAAGAAATACAACTATAAAATAACTACTACTGTTGTCATCGGTCTTATTTATTCATTTATTTATTTAGGTATTAGGGATTGACCCAAGGAGAGCTTTACCACTGAGCTACATTCTCAGTCCTTTTAATTTTATTTTTTGCTGAGGGCCTTACTACATTGTCAAGGATAGCATGGAACTTGTGATTCTCCTGCTTCAGCCTCCAAATTGCTAGGATATCTGTGCCAGACACTGTGCTATAAACAGTATTTCTATCCCTCACTTCCTCTTTCCTCAAATGAAAGGATAAGAGATGATTATAAGCTATGCTACATAGATGCTTAAGATTAAGTAATTTACTAATGGAAACAAAGCTAGTAAGTGGAAGAGGATCTAAAAAAAAAATCAGTTCTGTCTGGCAATAATATATAAAAAATTCATGTGTTTCCATTTTTTTTTTTTTTTTTTTTGCTACAGGTCCCTATGGATCCAGAACACTGGCCTTGTTTCAGAGCATACTTTGTGCCTTGAGGTGGAAGCTGCTCACCCTACCCCACAACTAATTAAATAAAAGTGCACAGTAGGAGGTTATAATTGACAGAAAGAATAATTTCTATTTATTCTGAAGAGGAATTTTATGTTGAAAAGTTCATAACAAAATATATTAACTGCATATTTAAAATGCCTAGATACAGAGAAGTGAAAATACCTTTTTCCTTTAAGCCCTCTGTACCACTATTAATTTTGAGAATGGGCTCTTAAATTTGTCAGGTTTTACTCTGAGGTGGACGCATACCTTAAGAAATAACTTCCATGATAAAAATAACAGATTTTTAAATTTCTGCATTAACATAGAATTCCCCACATTTTAAAGATCCAATCAAAACATGGTTAGAGTCCAGTTTTACCAGACAAAATAAAACAAAAAAAAACTTTCTCAAAGAATTAATCTAAATATACTATTATTTGCAGTTTTAAAAAGATATACAATCTGAGTTAGGTAATTAATTATGTATTTTTAATCCTATAACCTTATATAAAACTAAGAAGTGATAAAAAGAAAAAAAATGTAAAATAATTGCTTGATAATGTTTGTCCAACTATAAAAAATGGAACAAAAGTTTCAAAAAACAGCAAGTGGTATAGTAAAAAGAACACAAAATTAAAAATGGTAGTTGTTATTTCAAAACCTAATATTTTATAATTCTACAAGTTTTAGTCCATAATCTTTTGCCATTTTTAGAAACAGAATGACTTCATCAGACCTCCAAACATTTCCCTGCAAAATGGGAACAGCAGCCCTGTCTGTTTCACACAAGAGAAAGAGATATATGCAAAAGTGTACAATGAACAAAATGTGACCTAAACTAGAACAAAACCTGAATATCATTTTGTTCAATGCTTTCTATCCCTAAAATTCCTTCCCCCTGTATCTCTGGACATCAGGTTGTCTACATCTACCCTAGTAAATATACTCTTATAAATTCTCCCCACTTGACTCCCTCCTCACAATCATAAACACCACAGCCAGAGTTGGCCTCTGACCCTCTACTCCAGCCTCTTGGTTCACAGATCAGAAAATTACAGTTACCCTAATAAAGAGCAGGAGTAAGATTATAATTCAGGTCTCTAAACTCCTGTTTCATTAATGAGCTATACTATTTCACTTATTTGTAAATGTTAGTTTACAACTGTTCCTTTAATTGTGGTTATCCATTTTTTTAAAATGAGATACTGGCAGGTGTAGCTTAGTGGTACAGGGCTTGCCTAGCATACACAAACAGCAAAAAAATAAGGGCAGGAGACTTCTTATTGCATTGCTTTTTTAAAAGTGGCTAAGAAAGTTCATTTTAAATGTTCTCATCACAAAAAATGAAAATCATGTGAGGCAAAGCCTATGTTAACTAGCTCAATTTAGCCATTTCACAATGTATGCATATTCTAAGACATCATTTTGTACAGGATAAATATATATCAATTTTATTTGTCAGTTTAGAATAAGTTATTACTTTTTAAATAAAAGGTTCTTGTTTATCTCCCAAAGCGTACTTTAAACAGCTTGAGGGAAAAAGCACAAAACTCTTTTATACTAATTTAAAATAAAACCCAACAACAGGAAGAATCTGTGAACTAACCTGAATAATCATTATCATTTCAAATTTTAATTAGCTTTTTAAATTGAATTAGCACAGAAATATAGAATTAAAAGTAATTTTTTCAGATCTTCCTCTCTCTTGCATCCTGAAGGCAAAGAAAATAAATTTACCCAAAGAGGGTAAAAATGAATTTAAACTTTCTTTTTAATGTCTGTTCTTCCCAAGTCATCTAGTCTGAGTCTCTTATTTATGCCATTGAATAATAATAATTTTAAAGAAAGAACAAGCCCCCCAAAATATTTTTAAATGTTATAAAAGTTGTACAGAGAAAGCTGACTATTTAAAGGGTTTAGCTACTGGAAAAAAAAAAAATTATGTATACAAAGTGAATTCATTGTGAGGAGCTCCACAGAAAACTCAAAACTGTCTGCAAGCAAATCTAAAAATGAACATCAAAAAAAGTAGGAAAATCACATTATTATCTTGAACTTTATACTAAAGAATAAAACAGTAGCAAAACAGAAGGAATTAAATGGAAGAAAGGAAGAAAGAAATAGAAGAAGGAAGAAGGGAGAGATGGAGGGAGAAAGGAAGAAAGACTGAGGATGTGGTTCAGGGAACAACACTGGCCAAGAAGTTAGACCTTGGCTTCAGCCTCTAATTCTGAGTGATGATAATATCATGTGGCAACCTGTCTAGGGCATAGTGTCCAATTGTTTAGCTAATACCAGTCTAGATAATGCTATCAAAATATTTTTAAATGTGATTAACATCTAAATCAGTAAGCTTTGAGATTACTCCCATAATGTAAATGAACCTCATTAATCAACTGAAGGCCTTAAGAAAAAGAAGATTCCCAAAGGAGAAACATTTCTACCTCAAGGCTGCAATATAGAAACCCTGCCTGAGCTTCCAGCCTGTGTATTTTAGACTCATTAATTATTCCTTGTGTCTCCAGTCTGCTGATCTACTCTCTATATTTTATATTTGCCAGTTCCCACAATGACATGAGCCAATTACTGTAAACTCATAGATAAATCCTCTCTCCCTCTCCCTCTCTCCCCCATTTCCCTCCTCCCTTTCCCCTCTCCCTCTCCTTCTTCTTCCTCTTAGTTAAAAATAAAGGAATTTTAGAGTCCACTTATTGTATTTTCCCACCTCATCAGAATTTCCTTGACCTAACTATTAACTGGTCATCCATGTCTCTCAGGTAAAAGGATCTCTCTCTCTCTCTCTTTCACTCCCACACACACAGACACACATGCACACACACACACACACACACACACACACACACACACACACAATTATTTCTAAATAGTTACCATTAATGAAAAAATTCTCTAGCTGGAGAAAAAGGTTTATGTGTAATTTCCCACCATCCAACCAACCCTAGTTCTACCTTCTAGAACTATAAATGAACTACAAACAAGTCCTGTTATTAAGATATACTATGTAGAGTTTAATTCAGATAGAGACTGGAAGGCAGAATAATGGCCTCTAAAGATGTTTATATCATAATTCCTGGAACCTGTAAATATTACCTTACATGGCTAAAGAGACTTTGCAGGTATAGCAAAGATTCTGAAATGGAAAAATTATCCTAGATTATCAGAGTGGGTCCAATGTAATGATAAAGGTCCTTATAAGTGAAAGAGAAAGACAAGAGAATCAGTTTCAGGATGATACAATGAGAAAACTTTACCAGTCATTGCTGGATTTAAAGATGGAGGAAGGGGCTATGTCAAGGAATACAGGCAGTGAAGTTGGAAAGGCAGGGGAATAGATCCTCCCAGAGCCTCCTGAAAGAAGGCAGCTCAGTTACACCTATTGCAGACTTCTGACCATCAGAACTGTAAGACAGTTTATTTGTTTTGCT